TCCACCGAAAAATAAGATTGCATAGTATCTTGACGATTATTAATAATGAGAGAACAAGAGTCGCTTTTTCATCAGCGATAGATAAATTAGTATCTTCCGTGAATGTTTTTTTTTTTTTTAATTATATCAATTTAAAAAAAAGTGTAAATATAATAATTTATTTGACGAATAAAAATGACATTCGATGAATCAAAAAATTTTGATTAACGTAAAAAAAAAAAAACCATGTTTTTTTAATGAGCTGACATTATATTATTCAAATTCTTGTTGAGTTACGAATATTTTATCCTTGATTAATTCGCTCGGCTACTGAGATGGATGATGGAGAAAGAGGGAGCGAGATACTTTGAAATTCAGGTAACCGAGAAAGGCTCGCGCGCGCTTCGAGATGCTCGATAACGCAACGGGTAGGACAAAAGATACTTGCCACAAGTTCCGAAGTTCGCCGCGGACTTTATCTCTTCCCGGGAGAGAATGTCCCTCTTTGAAAATATATTTTTCGTCGTGATATCACGATGCGTATCTTTTCTCGCCCTTTGAGGCACTGATAAAGAACGACGGAAATGCATTCATTCTTCCCGAGAGCATCACGAAATACTAAGCCCATAACAAGTCAGATTCCTAAAAGGATACGATATCTTTTATCTTTGTGTGATGTCCTGACAGCGAGGCTGTACCTTATATGTCTTTTACGATGGATTATAAGCACGACTTATTATAGGCTAATCATGAAAAATTGGCGATATAGTATCTTTTTTTTTTTTAAAGAACAATTTTTATTTGCCTTATGCTTGTCTTATAATTAAACAATTGAAATATTTTCCAACTATTCTTAAAACGTGCGTAGAAAAAAAATATATACAGCTAATTAATTAAATTAAATTGTTAAATTTGATTTATGATTTTTAAAATTATTAATTTTGTGATTTATGATTTTAAGATTATATATACAAGTAAGCATTATAATTTTTCCTACATTTATTTATTTATTAAATTATTAATTTTTATTTAAGACGTTTCATACATCACAAAGATTATATTATAATACTAAAGATTGAAAAAAAATATAAAAAAAAGATTCTCAAATTTGAATTAAAAAGAAAGACTGACTGAGATTAGGTTAGGTTAGGTTAGGTTAGGTTAGGTTAGGTAAGGTAAATCAGTAGGTGTCATTATTTGCGCTTTTATGATTTAAATATTAAAAATAATTAATGATTATTATGTATCATAGATAAGCATTAAAATTTTTTTTTTTTTTTTTAGAATCACGATATAGATTTCTTTCCAAATTGACAAAAGAACTCGCATAGATGAGAGAAGTGGCGATTGTTCTCGGTTATTTCACATAACTCTTGGGAAAGTTCTTGATCAAACGTAAATTATTATCTGAATCGCGACTCGTGATTGACGAGGAGATGGACGGATGTACGTGACAAGGAAGGCATCGAGAAAGGAAAATCGATAAGGAACGAAGGGAGGAAGAAAAATCGCGAAATGGAGAGACAAACGTACGAACGATTTCGTGCCGATGAGAACACTTCGATTTTCCTCGTGCAATATAATACCATACATCGGACTCGGCATGCAGATTGTGCAGGAGGGAGCACAAAGGGGTGAGGTGGAAGGTGAGAGGTACAGCGGAGATGATAATTTATATTGTTATTCCAGATGCGTTCGATGACGCTATATATTCCCCAAGATGGCTGCCACGACAGAAAGAAAGAGAGAGAAACGGAGAGGGAGAAAAAGAGAAAGATAAAATGGAAAGGATAGAGGAAAAGATAGGAAGGAGAGAGAAAAACTAGCACTTGGTAGCCGTGACCTTGTCTGGTATACCCTACCGTGCGCCTTGGCTTGTACACATATCCTTGGCACCCCACTATATGAGGTGTATGAGGTGGGAGGATGGGAGAGAGGGAGAGAGGAATAGAGAGAAAGAGCGAGAGAGAAAGGAAACGAGAGAAAGAAGCTCGAAGGGAACGCGCATACAAGTGCGGCGGGTGTATTCGTTGTTACCTAATTTAATGAGCAAACTGCCGAGAGCACGTGTCGGTGAATATCTTAAAGCTCGTTAGCATGTCCATCGGCGTGAAATCACGAATGCGCTTGCCCGCTCGCGAGCAAATCGGAGCAGAGCGGGGGCGGATATAATCGCGTCGGCGAGACCGACAAAGGGGAGAGGAGCGGATATATTTTGAGAAATTCGCGAACCGAGGCAGACAAGATGAAGCTACGACGAAGCGTTCGCGCGAGATAAGAAAGAATCGTGAAAAGAAATTGCGATTGGCAAAATCCGTATCTCTGCAATAATTCGATCTACTAATGTAATTAGATACAAAAAAAAAAAATATTAGAGCCTTGAAGATTTAAAATGATTAATTTAAATTTAGAATTAATTAATTTAAATCTTGAAGATTTATTATTTAATTATTAAAGAATTCTTTTTTTCAAAATTTTATTCGCTCCCTTTTTATAGCGCATTTTTTGCAAATATTTTAGAAATGTAAGAATTCAAAATGAAATGTTCTCTGGTACTATTAATAAGATTGAGTTAGAAATAATTTTGTAATAGCAATTCTTATTGCATAATATAAATGATGTGCAAGACTGTCGCTGTCAAAGATAGATAGCCGGCCGATATTATTATTGGCAATCTAATGTTATTCGAAATCAGCTGGGCCGGATTCAATTTCCAACAGCCAATATCTTCTTTTTTTTCCCTATAAATTAATTAAAAAAAAATCTTCTACGACAAATTTTGCAATAGAACAATTTTAATTCTGCTCCTCTTTCTTCGGATTAAACGTATGAAATCACTTCTGTATTATTGGTGAGAAAAACCTCAGCCAGAGTTTGTACCTGAATCTCTCTCTGTTTTTCGAGCGGGCGTTTTGCCAATTCGGCGACCGAGGTTTTACACAGATGATGTCGCTGGAGTACCTTCATCTTGTACAATAACGGGCGTTCCTATCTCTGCCTTTGACGGCGCGAGTCTTACATATTATTTATGTTGTACACTAGACATTGCAAACTCAATTTGTCTCACAAATTTCTCTTATTATTATAATACGTAGCCTTTGTTCTACTCGTAATCAGTGTAAAACCAAAGTTAATACTACGTGTAAAATAGCTAAAAGCTTTTTCGAAGTTAAATTACAACATATAATTGATTAACAAATTTTAAATCGATATAAAAACATATATATTTGCTTTTAAGCATATATTATAACAATAAATAATATAAAACGATTTATAAAATGTGGAACGAAAAATAAAAAATTACATATATATATGTGTGTAATATTTTTCTAAATATTTTTCAAAATAAGATCGCTAGAATATTTTATGTGTTATTCTATTACACAATAATTAAAAAAAAAATTGCTATTGCGGAGATAAAGGTATAACTAACTTTTTACAAATAATAAACTAACAAAATAATAAACCACTCACGTCGCGGTATCTTTGCCGTTATCCGATGCCTCTTCCATCTTTTTCTTGTTTATTTTCCGTTGACTTTTCATGATCACTCCTCTATGATATTTACTCGCGAGAAAACACGGTTAATTTCAATCGCGCGTCGATCGCCAAGAATGTGATCATTTCCCGGCACTTTGCATAGCACTCTCGATGTTAATCGCGTACTTCATTTTATGTTGCGGTTGAGAAGAACGCGAAAATATCACGGTTGTACGAGGCTACGATAACGCGCGATCGAATGTTGCTTTGTTGCCGGCGAATAATATTAATAGCACGCATGCATTTTAAATGAAAACGAGATTGAGGTATCTTTTAATACTTATCGTGATATTATAATCCTTCGAGAAGTAAGACGACGACACATACGGATCCGCGTTGTTACCTCCTTCAGCCTCGTCGCGAGAATGACAAGGTGACTACAGACTACATGTGTATAAATGACAGAGCGCTCGTCGCGAAAACAAGCGCCGAACTATGTGACGTATGGCCCGCTATTGTTTATGTTTATACACGCGTGCTGTTGCGTATTATTTCCTCGCGGTACTGTTCGAACAAGTACTAAAAAATATCGGGATTATTCTCGTTTTAAATGCGTGCCTATATGATTCCTTAGCTATATAATTTTGGCCACGCGATTTTCCAGTGTCAAAAGGATCGTAGCTTCGTATAATTGCGATTTTTATTTTTTCCTCGCACTATAGAATAAAGTAGGCATCATGTGCGATTTTTAATGCGATTTTAATTTCGAAAATGCCATGTAAAATGCCAGACAATCGTATTTTGATAGCGATTAGTGCGCGTGCAATCGTAATTAATCGAGTTTTCGCGAGTGAATATCATGTGAGTGTTATGGAGAAACAATAAAGAACAAACGAGAGAAAAAGTAAAAGACCCGGGGAGGCTTAAATAACGCCGGAGTAACCATGAAGTAAGTAACGTGTGTATCAATTTTAATTTTAATTTATTATTTGTCATTTGTAAAATAATTTTTTCCGTTTTTCCCGATAATAATTTATAATATCATTGTATAATATGATACATATAAAATATTCTACTTATCTTATTTTGAAATATTTATATATATGTATGTAATCAATTTTATATGATATAAAATTTCTCAAACATCGTGTTTGAGATTAAAAAATTTTTTAGGTTATTTAAACTTATTTTAATCATATTTTATACAAGTTTATATTTCAAATAAATTTTTTGGAAAATTTTATTATTTTTTAAATTAATCTGTTTAAAGAGATAAATAAAAATTTAATTGTGTGCAAAAATTATTTTTTGATATATCAATCACTTTGTATATGTAATTGCCTTATGTAACTTGAATATATTTGGATTTTTACAGGTCGATGATGATATTTTACAACTCCGTCGTTGTGCATCATACTGGTGAGTGTATTAAATTATTTATCTTTGATAAAATAAATTTGAAAAATAATGGTAAACTTATTCCATGAGAATTAAAGTTGGTTAAGTGATACATATATATAAAAAGCAATTAATTCAGAAAACGTTTCAAGATCAAAATTTAAAAAATAATTAACTAAATTAAAAAATTTAACTAAACGAGAATCAAATTCGGCGTTAATATATCTCGAGAGAAAATAATTCGGGAAACATTTTAATATCGAAATTGAAATTGTATTAACATACCTTATTTTAGTAGCGATATAAACTTTGGAGTGTTTTCAATTATTTTTTAAAAATTCGAAATTAGAACATTTCGATAGTAATTAATCCTAGAAATTATGTGAAATTGATATTATTTATTTTATTTTTCTGATCATTTATAAATTATTATAAAAAATATGAATAATTTAATATTAATAATTTTTGAAATCTATTAGCAGTTTGAGTTATTAATTAGCAATTAAATTTATATTTATTTTTGCTCTTCGATTTCCGCTAAAAATATTTTCCAAAAATGCGGATATATATTAAATGTAATGTTAAGAGTCAAAATTTCATTTTTTTAAATATTAATTTCCTGCTAATTAGCAGGAACAATAAATTATATAGAGAAAGGAAATATAGAGCTAATTTTCATCGAGTTATGTCATACATTGGGGGGGAATTTGATTTCTCGCAGTGAGGATAAAGATTAAAAGAGGTTTAAACCAGATCCACCTGAAAATTCTTTGCGTCACAAACGGTTAACAAAGAAGCCCTTTATTCGGTCGAATCTCACGCCGTCGCGAGGAATAGCGATTCTCTCGGGTTGCATCGCGCGGATTTCGAAATTGCGGGAGAAACGACGAAGACGCTCCTTCGCAAGGCGCATCCTTTAATCGACTTTCGACGTTGCAACGTGTTGCGAGAAGCCGTTCGCGAGCTCGCGAACTTTAAACGAAGCCTTGTTCCTACGTCTGTTACAAACTCTCTCTTCAATCGTACACGAAAGTTCAAATCGTCATGTCGAGTTGCGAACTTGGTAATATCAACGGGCAACAGAACGTGCCCGAGATTTTAATTGCGCGTAATGACTTTTTCTATATCGAAACTATGCTGAGGGAAAAAAAATTTCACTATAATTTATAGTTATTTTTGCTGACAATTACATGTTTATGTAGTAATTAAATAAATAATAAAGTTATTAAATTTATTTAAATTTGAATTTATTTAATTCATAAAAACATTTAATTTATGAAATATTATTTTACTTAAACTTTTAGGCCACTTAAACTAATAAATAGTAAAGCAAAATGTTTAAATCGTAGTTACATCTATTAAATTTAATTAAATTTAAATTTATATGATTCATAAAAAGATTTAATTTATGGAATATTATTTTACTCAAACTTTTAAACCACTTAAATTAATAAATAGTAAAGCAAATGTCAAAATCGTATTTACATTTATTATAATTGTGATTAACTTGACTATAAGAATGATTATTTTATTTATTACTCGTATTTTACTACATTTTAATATTTAAAATTATTATAATTTATAATCGAATTTTTATATAGTTTGCAAAATTTATATAAGATTATTATTAATATTATATAGTAATAAAAAAAAAATTTTTCTGCACCAAATTAATACATTTGCAATGTCTTAACAAGCAAATTCATATATATATATGCGATTCGATTGATTAATTTTCCCGACAATTAAAATTTTCGTCGATGAGAATGTTCATCGAAGGCGAAGAGGAGCTCCTTCCGGCGGATGCGCGGCAGAAACGTGTCGTCGACGCATCCTGCTAGTGAGACAACAATAGTAGACACCCTCCTCTTCCTCGTTGCATGCGCCAATTACTCCGTGGTCGGAAGAAAGACGGAGAGACGCGAGGGAGAGTGCACTGACATTTCAATCGGAAATTCTACGGAATTTCGCGGATGTCCTCTCAAATATAAAGGTCAAGGACAATGTCGCGCGGATAAAGGATCCTCGATTTCTTCTCGCATTTAAATCTGACAGCACGTGGATTAATCGACGACGAAGAATCGATATTTTCTAAGGAATTCCTTCCTGTTACACGTCTGCGCTCGCGACGGGTACCAATCGCATCATATTTGTCCTTGATCGCGAGAGAGAGAGAGAAAGAGCGGAATGTTACATACCATATTTTGACTGACACTGATCAGCTGATTCCGAAACAGAATCGTGGCGGATTCGACACGGCAACAACAACGGAAAAATCTCGTGTAGCGCCCGTGCGAATGTTCAAAGTTGTAATGTACCTGAGAAAATAATATCGGAGAATAAAAGAAAAAGATATTACGCGACGCATTGACTTTTACGCATTGAGAATTAAATGGCGGCCCCGGGAATTTTACGTAATCTTTCATTTCACGATTTATTCGCGTACTCTTTTTCTCGCGCTTCAAAGTGCAAAATTGATAAACAATTTTTTTCCTTCCGGTATAATAATCCGCCGCTAGCGATGATTTATAACAGCGGATATTTTATTGGCTCCCTCGCGATCAAGGACGAATACTAACGCGAATTAGATCGGTTGCGCGCGTGTCACGAGTACGTTCGATGTTTTCCCAATTAACGGGAAAAAAATTGTTAAAAAAATATATATATATGTCGATTCCGATATATGCGATACGAGATGACATTCTTATCTTTGTTTGCACAACGGCGATAAACATTGTCGAAAATCGATACAGAAGGTTTCCGGTTAAATCACCGCTGGGTGATAACGAGTTTATACAAGAAGCTATCATACAGCTGATTAGCGATTTGTCGTTTTGGGTCACTTCGCGATGACGGTTTTATGATGATTTTACGAATGAGCTATATCGTGCATTATTCATGGAGATATCTTGCGATGTAATATTTAATTTAAATATATTAATATTTTATTATCGTTGCTTTTGTAATTATCAAGAAAAAAATTAATGCGGATTTAAAGCAAAAGTCACTCAGAAAGAATTAATATCTGTTACGATAATAATAAATACATATACATATACAAGGATAGAATTGAATATATCTTTTAAGAGAATATTTTTAAAAATAATATAATATCTCATAATTATAAGATATATTTTTAAAAATATTTAATATTATATTTTCTATAAGTTTCCTGATATGAAAAATAATATAATATATCTTTTAAGAATATTTTTAAAAATAATATATATCTTATAATTAAGATATATTTTTAAAAATATTTAATATTAAATTTCCTAAATTTTCCGATACGAAAAATAATATAATGGAAAAAAAAAAGGAATGAGAAGTACGTAATATATAAAATGCACACAAAGTATCAATGTTTCGATAGTATTGGATAAGCATCTCTAAAGTCATACGACGCCGACATTCTCCTCGACGAGGCATCAACGAGCTCTTAACGTCACTCGCTGACATTCGCTAACGATGAGTCAAGACAATCATCAAGCGCAATAAGCACGATTCTCTGAGATATCGCTCCTTATGGAAGCGCGATCTTTCGCTTCGATGGAGAGGGGTGGATGAACATTACGAGCTCACCGCGTCCCCGTTCCGTCAGCTTCGACCTCTCGAACTTAATCATATACTCTCTTGGGTATCAAATATTATTTATTATTATTTATTATTTCATGATAAAAATCTTTTATTTTATTCTATTTTTTAATTATTATTAAATTC